GAAAAGAATTCATCGATAGCTGCACATGCATGGGACAAAAACCACAATATCGATTGGAACAATGTGTGTATTCTAAAAACTAACATGAACAAATGAAAAGAAAGACTCATAACACAATCGATATTCATTAAATTCACATCGGATGCATGTAACAAGGGTGACTGATTACAATTATCAACAACTTCGAATATAATTCTAAATACAAACACATGAATGAACGTGAAATATAACTCTGAACACACACACACACGCACAAAACATGAATGAGCAAAATAAATTATAATAATGAACTGTATATGTGAGTACAAATCATAAATGTGTGAATAAAACAATTCCAACAGTGGTGTGAACACGGGCAGTAGTAACTTTGCTCGAAATATTACCAATAACAAAACTTATCATTGTGTGTAAACTATTGAAATATAATTATACTTTACTTGTGTTTCATTTCCTCCCCTTACAATCTAACATTACTTAATCGGTTCATTTGTTTTTACTAGCCTTTATCGACTACGTCCATCTGAACATTTGTTTATTCGTGTAATCATACTGTTTTTTTCATTATTCGTGTTATCATTGATTGCCTCACTTTTTCATCCTTATTATTGATATGACGATTATTATTATTATTATTATTATCTTTCTATAGTTTGGTTTGTAAGTATTAGTTATGTTTTACGATTTGATCACGGATTGATATCAGTTAGAGAACCATTGAAAACCAGGGAGTACTGGACAGCTGCTGTTTCATCCTAGTTTTGGGAATCATCGGCAGTACGCACCCACTGGGTTTCGAACCCAGGACCTTCCGGTTACAAGGCAAGCTCGTATACCATTCAGCCACTGGAACCCGATTCAATGGCTCGTGAATTCTAACTTCTACCAATTCGTGATTTAGCGCGACCCCAACCATTGTCGTTGGTGGGACATCCATCCACACACGTGACATCTAATTGGACCTCACTGGTCACGACTTCTCACTAGAACTCAGGAAACTCCAACCTGTAGCAAGTCACTAGCGAGCATCAGATTAACTTTCTATAGTTTGGTTTGTAAGGATTAGTTATGTTTTACGAGTTGATCACGGATTGATATCAGTTAGAGAACCATTGAAAACCAGGGAGTACTGGACAGCTGCTGTTTCATCCTAGTTTTGGGAATCATCGGCAGTACGCACCCACTGGGTTTCGAACACAGGACCTTCCGGTTTCAAGGCAAGCTCGTATACCATTCAGCCACTGGAACCCGATTCAATGGCTCGTGAATTCTAACTTCTACCAATTCGTGATTTAGCGCGACCCCAACCATTGTCGTTGGTGGGACATCCATCCACACACGTGACATCTAATTGGACCTCACTGGTCACGACTTCTCACTAGAACTCAGGAAACTCCAACCTGTAGCAAGTCACTAGCTATTATCAACTGGACGTAACTGCATTTCTCAGTAAATGAGTGATGATGTTCCCACCGAGGCTCAAACCGACTTCCCATAGTTTCAAACGGCAAAGCGTTATCCACTAGACCACTTGGGCGACGAGAGCCACCTCTTGTGCAACGGGTCATATTAATTATTGAATTGAATTTTTGATTTTCCCGTCGATTGATTGGACCGAAGTGCTCAGTCTCAGATTGACACGTCGGCTTCTTGTGCGGATGCTTCGACGATGTCTGGGCATTTAATTAGTATTTAATTGGTGGATGGTAGATTCCACTGCTGGTCACTAATAAAAAATAAAAAAATCATGTAAATTAGTATGATCCGTTGCAGAAGAAGTGACTCTTGTGGCCTAAGTGGTCTAGTGGATAATGCTTTGGCGTTTGAAACTATGGGAAATGGGTTTGAATCTCAGTGGAAACATCATCACTCACTGAGAAGTGCAGGCACATGCAGCTGACGAGTCCCGTATAGGAAGAAATGCGCATCCAGGATTCCACTGCTAGTCACCATCCACCAATTAAAGACTGATTCAATCCCCAGACATACTCAAAGCATCTGCATAAGAAGTTGAAATGTCCACCTGAGTACAAGCACATAGGTACAATCAATCGACCGGGAAATAAAAAATTAAATTAAATTACAATACGTCATTTTAAATTGACCTCGGTCTATTTTCTCACTCCTTAATTCTTTGTGATATTTATGCCGAGGTTTTTTTAATTCAGGTTTAATAATACTTTGATAAAGCTATTAGCAGCGTTAAATAGCTAAACGTCAGTAAAAGTGACAATATCGTTTTGTTTTTCATCCATTGGGAAATACAAGAAAACATTTATTATAATGAAAAGATACCCTTGTCAACTGTTAAATACACAGAAATGTGAAAATGACATACTCACTCTGTGTATGTGCTTAAAACTTGTCAACTGTTTGTTTTTGATCGTGTATGATTCACTGAACAAATTATTCACTATTATCAGTCGTCATTTTATAATATTTTACTAGTCAATGCTTTGTTCTGACCTTCTGCCCACTTGTCAAGTCGACGTTGTCGACCACCTCGCTTCTTTTCTCGAATACCTCATTTTCACAATATTCAATTTCCAACCGTCACTTCACTTGAGTCGGTGAGTCGTTGACTGTCACCTAATTTCTCTCTGACTTTAGAAACCACTTTCAAGTTCTGTGATAGAGAATCTATCACTAAATAATCAATTATTGCACATTCTGTGTCAATATAAATAATCCGATTATGGTTTTTGTGCGGAATTCATTGATTGGTTACTGGATTTCGTCATAAGCTGACATCAGTTAGAGAATCACTAGAAAACCGTCAGTTAGTATTAGATAGCTGTTTCGTCCTTGCTTGATAATCTTCATCAACTCTCGAGTACTTTTTCTTGCTTTTTCAGTCATAAAATCATTAAATGTTACAAGGCATTAATCAGTGAAGAAGAATTAAAATCACATCAGAAACCGTATTTTCCAGTGTTAGTTTGAAGGGATTTCATTGGTTCCAAGTTTCATCAAAGATTGATAGAGGCTGTTTCGTCCCACTTTGAGACTGTTGACAGTACTAGTACATGACTCCATCCGGAGAATTGGACCAAACAGCTTAAATTACGAGAATAGAATCCAATGGCTCAGGAATTCTAACTCCTCTGAATTGTAAGATTTATTACAAATCGAAGACGGATTAATATTCATTTATTTCAGATTAGTAGTTTCAGATGAAATAAGACTCCAATCTGAGTTCTGTGTTTATGTATTTATTACTAAAAAAATATAAGTTCTCTAGAGTTAGGTTCTAGACATTTGATTTGTTTTAAGCTTGACCACAGAATGATGTTATTTAGGGAAGTATTCAAAACTAGTATAGGGTGCTGGACAGATGTTTCATCCTAGTTTGGGACCCATCAGAAGTATGAACCCACTGAAGTCCTCATCCTAGACCTTCCGATTGCAAGGATAGATCGAAGACCATTCAGCCATTAACAACTCGTGGCCTGAGCTCCACTTGCCCCAGCCAATACCATCGGTAATTATTTGTACTTACTCCTGACCTGGTGGACCCCACTGGTCAGGACTTCTCACTGGAAATCTATGCAACCTCGTCCTGTTTTGAACAGTGATTTCCACAAGGTCGGGACTGAGTGCACATACTGGCCTATGACACTGGCTGGTGGTTACGCCATATGCATCAACAACTGCCAGAAGTCGGAGTTTACGAGTCATTTGATAATGTTCCAGTAGCCGAATGCTTTATGAGCCACCAGGAATGCTGTATTGCGAGACAGAATTCATTCAGAGGCACTGATGTAGAGAGTGAAGTCAAAGTTCTCACTCAACAAGTGGAAACTTTTGATGGGCGGAAGTGTTACCTAATGATTGGGAGAAAGTTTGCCTAACCAAACTACCTAGGTGACCAACACAAACAACTTCAGCAAAAGGCCTCGAAATCATTCAACAACTGAATCACGATGATAAGTGTCAAGTGATTCATGATGCTCAATTCAGGAGTAAGGCAAGGCTTTCATTCATCTATCACTGACGGAATTCGAATGAGAAATGACGAGTTGCGCAGGGATTTGACGGTGACATAGAGGAGATTAGAGGCAATAGATAATCGTCAGAGATACTGTATTCTTTGAATGCGGTGACATTCAGCAAGTGGATATGTTGACATTCACGCAAACGTCAACATCAAGTTCACAATGGAGCATGAAATCAAAATTCAGCTGAACTTTCTTGACTTGTGAATGAAAATAAAATGTAACATACAGAAACGTGACCAGTTGTTTCGTCGAATTTCCCGCTGGTGTGTGAACACGACACTACATGAATGAACCTGAAGAAGAGTGATTAAGCAGAGCGTTTCGTAGAATTGCGCACTCACAGTAACAAAATAGTGTATCATAATGAAAGCAGTGATAAATTCATCGCAATATGTCACCCTTATTCCGAAAAGAAGGGGAGAACTAAATAGGCATTGATTTTGCTATTCACATATCAACGTATATGTCCTACGCTCACCATCATCTCTGTCGCACATAACACAAGTGGGAACAAATATGGAAGCATTTGTGTTTTCAGCGTGTAAGAGAAATTGACCGAACACATGCAAGACTGAAAACATTGTAGAAGCGGAGATTAAGTGATACGTAAGCGATTGTTGTAACCTGACAGTGTACAATTCTACCTTATCAAACACACAAAGTGTCGCTGAACATTTTCATTTTCATTGCTTTTATGATTGTGTGAACGAAAATCACGTAATTGCCTATCACATTCACAAACTATGTAAGCAAACTATGTCGACTCAATGCAATAAACATGTCGGATGCTACCTGCTTTAAACCGATTCCATAATGTGACTGTCTCGTTTTGACAAATGCGAATTCAAGAAGAATGATATACCTCGTACTGAAATCAGTGATGCACTCAATATCTCAACAAAAAGAAACATTTCATGAATTTGAATGGTAATATTGTATAAACATTTATTAGAGGAGATCTAATCTAGAGAAAAGAGAAGAATAATAATCGGCATTCAGAAGATCGAGCAGAGCGTTTGAAATAGCACACTTGAAATTATCCCTCAGTGATACCATAGTTACGATATCTGATTTGGTGGCAGCTTCAATTTCGTTTTGCACAATCAAAATTTAATGGCTTGTTGGTTGCATCATTTTACAATCCCTAGAAGGGAAGAAAATGGGAGAAAAAGTTGAAATGAACACATGAATACTCATCAGAACCAGTTTTCTTATCTTCAGTGGCTAATTTCGGAAGGTACAATAGACGATGATCTGTTTCTCGAATCGGAAGCAATTGTGTAGTACTGATGGTAGTTATATTGTCTTTGAAAGAGGTGCTAATCGTCCACAGAAGTTCTTCCATCTGAAGCAGTGTCATTTCATTGAGAAAGAATTCCGGGAAAGTTGAAAGCAATATCCTGTCATTTCAAAAGAATGTCCGGAGGAGTGAATGTGATTTGAACACACACACACTTTATGGACACAGCCGAGTGAGACGACAAATCAGGCCATCACTCAAGAGCAGTCCGACTTGGAAACGATTTCTTGATTGTCTGCGATTGACATGGAGTATATTATGTGCGCGTCTACGAGAAGGGGAGATGAGGGCCTGTTCGCGGTCGCACAGACAGCTGAATTGGACTTTTCAATACACTTGCTGATTCAGAAGTTCCCCAAGATCATTTCAGGGATTTATCTGTTCACGAGGTTATACATTTTCCTGCTCACACCTACATAGTTTATCACGGAATTTCTTCCGCTATGTCACTAGTACACATAAGGGAGGAAATTGCAAGTAGTAGAGAGGATTTCCGATGTCACATGAGATGCATTCAGCTAACTCCTTGCACGTTTTCAAGTGTCTATTAACAATAACATCAATCAGCTAAGGTAAATACAACACTCCAACAACGCATCTTACAGCCCTTGATGTCCTACCCGATAAAAATTAGTCTGATTTCAGATTTCCGTGCAAGAATACGCGAAGAGAACAATGAAGAAGACTTGGCGGAATATATGAAACGGCGAGAAGATGCCAGAGAAGATGTTGACATGGACCAGGAGAAATTTTCAACTGTCTCATGTGAAAAGTCAAACGAAATATTTCCTCAGAAATCGTCAAGAAATGAGACGACCAACAGGGATTCGAAGAAATTCTGATGGCGAGATAGGATATATTCCAATGACTCGCTTACACAGTGCTTATACATTCAGTATTAGAGCAATCTGTCTGCGCGAATCTTGTTCATAGCTGAAACTGAAATAAACAGACTGTATGACATTTTGATGGATTTCGTTTGGGAACATTTTGACTGAGACTATTTGTGAACTTCACAAAAGAATGTATTGCTTTGAGAATATTACAGCGCAAAGGATACTGTGACGTTAGTCCGCAGATCATCGACATGTTGAGTGGAATAAGCCGAGATAAGACACATTCGATACGTTCACTTTCAGAGTACAGTCAACAATCAAGCAATCAGTTCGCATGTGTTTCGTTCACATGTGGAACTGAAATCAACAAAATGAATGACACCAAGATGGATTTGTGAGACTGTCTCAACTTCAGTTAGTACTTCAATCATATTAGAGGCATTCAATGAGGAGGAGTCTTCTCAGGTGTTGACTGTCATATATTCGGAAAATTCAGTGAAGTCAGCCTTTGGAGAATACAGATGATCGTGGAAACCTACCATGGACATTGAGAATGTGAAACGCTTCGAGGCACTCATGTTCTCATCAACAAGGCAGTGAAGCGCTCTCAATTGAAAACATTATGTCGAAAACTGCAGTAGCGATTGAAATTATAAAAAACACATCTAGATTCATTCTACCACTACAGCTCATGTTATCAATATTATTAGCATTGTCACCTATTGTTTAAATTTGTTCACTGGAAATACATGAGACTGAAGACAAACTGGCCATTTCACGTGACACCACAAGTACGATACAGTACACATATGACAACAGCAACCTAAAAAGGCCTCATTTCTGCTATGGACGTGGGGTTCATTGGAAAATGCATGTTGTATTCCCGAGAATACGCTGAGTGCATTTGCATCACCATTATCAGCAGATTTAGATGTAACCTTTATCGAAAACTTCAAATGTCGCATAATTCACACTTTAAAAGGACTCACTTTGAACCTAGACGCTTTCCACTTTTGGTTGCCAATTCCTCTTCGGTTAAGGATGTGCCAAATTGAACCTTGTAAGTGCATTTCACATCCTCAACTGTTAGGTTATGCTGTTTGTCCAAAGTGAAATTGATCTTATCAAATTTGACAGTTACTTCATCTTGAAATCAGCAAAAAGACAAATGAATGGTTTAAAGGAAAGGATTGAAATCTCTGCAAGTAGACCTAGTTCATGAATGAAGCGAAATAACAATAATCTGCTGATCCGTTGAGTTTCAAAGTTTGGTTTGTAGAGATCGTCAATGTGGATTTCCAAGTCATTGATACATTTCACGAGGAATACAGAATTCCATTCCACTCACAATCGTCACTCATTTTATGTCAGTAGCAGTCTGTCAGTCCATAACTTTCCCATGGACCTCGAATCACCATGAAAAGTAAATGAGGGATGTCAATCACTCTTCTTTTCGTATTAACAGGCAGAATGTACACTTAACACGGAACAATCAAACTATATTGGAGTGCCTAATTTCTGGGTCTCGAGAACAGCTTCATCGTGTTTTCAGGCAGATAAGCAAAGCTCAATCACCGAATTTGGCATCCGCAGTGGCTGAATGGTTAACGAGCTGGCTTAAGATGAAACCTGAATTTCTGATTTTGAGCCGTTTTTGGTGATTCCCAAACTAGGCTGTCGAAACAGGTGCACGTGAGTGGTCGCTGCGTTTCACCTGTTCTCCAGAAACATGGTTATCCGTGGTGCCTCTTGCAAACTAGGTTTTAAAACGAAGTATTTAACAAATAATGTAACTGCGTATTTTTAGGAGGAAATTGTTTTAAAGACCTTGTGTGGATGGAATCATTTCAGAATCCAGTGGCAAATGTATTCTCACATTCGCTAACCAGCAATATATAGCACCACCACCATCCACTCTCATCACTTGTGCGGATGTGTTCTCACTGTGACCACGAACTGTCACTGGAATTCCAGGTACTCGAGATGTCAGTCAGTCACCAGTGAGAAGCTTCAAGAATTTAGCGAAGCAATTGTTTCCATAATTAGTCAGAGCGATATCAAACTCAATTGAGTCATTTACAAATATAAAAAAATTAAAAATTACCATTCGGTCCAAGTGTCATTGGGAGAAAGAAGCTTTGTGATCTAATCCTCATCATACTGAGGATGAACAGTCCGACGATCATGATGAGGTGTAGTTTTGACCTCTGAGACACCATCTCACTAAAATTATGTAGGAAAGGAAAAACATGATGATGTAATTTGAAATGAATAACAGAGAGAGATTATCGCTTTTGCTTTCAGTTTCGAGTGTAGTATACGCGTGCAACAGCACATCACAATTATTACTATTCTAAGCAACTCAGTTTTGTTTGGCCACAAGATCGCCGATTATCTCTCATTTCCAAACTCATATCTTTGCCTCAATACCGTCTTCACACCAATGCACCACTCCAGACTTACGAATCGCGATGCAATTTAGCGATGGCGTGGACGAAACTGACTTCTCAAGAGATACTGGAATAATCGGATTCAGCAAACCAATTTGTCTGAATGTAATTCTCTCTAAGTGCCTTTTCGAAAAGTGCTATGCAAATACGATTCAATAATCCGTAAACATTAGCTAAACAGAAAGTCACATCTTTAAATAATTTAAACATACTTCGACGACATGAAATCTCAGCACTATTTTGTCTGTAAAGTATTCACAATGACAAATGTGATCTATCTGACATCACCAATAATCATCAGGAAAGCAAGCGTATCTACATGACGCCGTAAACTACTGACTGATTGATATGAGCCAACCACGAAGTTGTACGAAATTCTAATTGCTTTTCGATCCAAGGGGAAGTCAAAGTGACGTTAACGGTTGATGAGGGTGTTGTTGGATGGTATGTTCAGAATCTAATTCAGCATATAACAGATCTTCATTGAGTCTCGTGTCTTCGTTTTACAGATGAGATATCAAGAAAATTCTTGAAACAGACTTATCACAAATGATCACACAATAAACAGAGACAGCTTTAAATCACGAAGACATTTAATACAGAACTTATGAACGACTGCAGCTATTCGCTTCTACTATTGCAAACAAATGTACAGATTGCCAATGTTTCCACTCTGCACAATACTAGATATGATGAATTGTAAATTACCAGTGGACTGTACAGACACACATATTTTGTTAACGAGAATGCGAAACTTCCTCAGACGGTAATTATATAGTACACAATATATCACATGAATATTCATACCACTGGAACTCACCTGAAATGTGTACTGAATCGTCACTAACTAACTCAACACTGACAGAATATTTTGTAGGACTATTTATACCACTAACACACGACACCATTCCGTTCATTGGTTACTTCTAGGGACCAATCAGAATTCGACTGAATCTGTTTGTATTTGCTTGTGTGACAATCATCAATTCAGTTATAATTTGATTTAACTTGATTCCAGAAAAGGCCAATACAAAATACAGTGACGATATCAAGAAACAGAATCGAAACTGTAGATCATTGCTCAGATTACTGTTTCTATCTGGGCAGATATATGATGTGCGTTAGAAAATGTATATCACACGGGAAAATTGATTATATCACATCAACAAACTGTTACAAGAAGTACGTACGTGGATGTAAACCAGCTTGGTAATAGACGATGTGCTTGATGCTCGTTGTACGAAAGTTGATGCATTTCATAATCCGGGTCTTCCTGTGGATGACTGCATTTGGAACAGCAACACACACTAACACATCAGACAGACGGGACATGAAACTCAATACATCTCAATAACTTCACATTCATCACCACACCTCGTTGTGGAATACTCACTGGAAAGCGCCAACACGTGAAAAGAGGCTAAACATTTCGGTCCGCTTAGTTGATGAGGCAACAAGAGGCATTGAAGCCTAACAGGCAGTCGAAAACCTAGATGACCAACTCGCTGTACAGTATTCTCAAATGCTATTCAACTGTTTTCTGATTGATATCACTCCATGAACCAACTTCAAGTACAAATCAATCCCTTAAACTCAACTTGTGCAAAGAACATCAAAATTGATTGAGAAACGAATGACATTTATAGGACAATCATTTTCCCATTGTATGAATTGTGAGTGACTGAATTTTGAAGCGCACTAATTAGACTCTCTATTATTTTTTTCTCGCGGCACTGATTCTGGACGCAAGCACTGACGTAAATTCTTGTCTAGGATTTTAGCTTGCAGCCACTACTCACCACAATATATTCAGCACTACTGAGGTGAATTCACTCACTACACAAGCGACAAGATCGTACAGCGGAGACAACGAATTCCTGAAAATTCGTGTGTAATTATTTCAGCAGTTAGGATCGATTCGGTCGATTCGAATGAAGAGACTCACTTCGAGTGACATTTTCTTATTCTTATTATGACAGTCAGACTACTCAACAAAAATAATTCCGATTGTCTACGTGAAAAAACATGATCAAGTTATTCGTTTGTGAGTGAATGGCTTCATTGGCTGTGGCTTCACCATATATCAGTTTGCATTCATCAATTCTTCCCTCTACGTACTCGAGGAATGTTTCGGTATTGATGTTATTTGACATGACTGAGTATAATTCAAACATGTGTGAGAATATCATTGAATCTCGACCGATTTATCTGATGCACTATGCACGGACACTAACACTCATACTGACACTCACACTGACGCTTACGTAGTGTTCACACACATGAAGAACTGACACAAATCTCCAATCTCGTGTTGTGAAAGCATCTGCAGTGAACTCATGGTGAGGCCAGACTGCAGGTCCACCAGGAGTCGAACTCCATTCTTTTTACATAAGCCATAGATATCTCAGTGTGATGCTCAATAGAAAGAAAACAGCCACCACAGGTGTCCGAAACTCGCGCAAACCTGATGCAAAGAAAGCTGAACAAGCCATGGTATTAGACAGAGAACGCAAATACAGTTAACCAAGTAGCCAGCTGAATAGGAACCCAGAAAATACAAACAATCTTGACTTCTCGTCGAATTCCAATTTCTACTCACCAGTCAAACGAACAACACAATATATTGATTGATAACACAAAAGGTGAGAGACTGAGAGTAGTTATGCGCCACCAGTCGAATGGTGAATGAACGACTTTACACTCACAGACAGCCTTTCAAAGCGAGAAATAACTAATTATTTCAATGAGTCTATTGACATTCACCTGTGTTAGTTCTTGATTTCGTTGAGTGACTCCATTGTCAATGGCACCTCACAAATGTACAAAATGCATGTGAGTAGATTTTCACTACACAAAATTCCATTCCTTCAACATTTCGTACTTTTCTGATGAAATTGTCAGTGTGATTGCTCTGTTGCATGAGAGGTATCTGCTGACACGCACCTGCAGGATTACTAGTAAACAATTTCACACAGTTCATTTAATCGTAGGCATATCGGCTCAAAAATCAAACTAAAATCGAACGATTTTGGAAGGAAAGAAAGACACACTTTTGTTCCTCAGATTCGAATTGGTCACCTCCAATTCCACACACACACATTACAGACAATGAGTAACCTCATAATTATCAAGCGATTTTGATTTATTTTTGACGAGTTAGTTTTCATTAATTTATGAGTATTCTCAGTTTGATCGCGGGATGATATCAATAGAGAAAGACATGGAAAATGATGGACAGTATTGGTCACCTGTTTTCAATATCTGTGAACGTTTAAAATCAGAATTTATCTATAGTAAAAATAAAGAGTGCAGTGTCAACTTAGTTTTCATCAACTCCAACTAGATTATGTCAAGTCATATGAACTGCGAATGTATTTGTTATTTGTCATTATCATCATTTATACCATGTTGATATCATGAGTTCCAAGTGAGGCATCACGTATTCAACATTTTCCACCTTGTTCAGTCCTCATTAGCTGGCGCCACGAATGCTCATAGTTTCTCATCTCTTCCACCTACGATCTGCACTATGTTATCATTGGGCGCTGGCGATATAACTCATCGGATGCCTTGTGATTGGGCCGCTTTTCATTTTTATTACCTCCACTTTATTTGTTGAATTGTACGTTCCCCGATTCTCTTATTTTCAACTGAGTGTTAATGGCAACTCTGTATTCACTATGTAGACACTGAAAACAGCTTCTGGTGGATGTGTCAAGCAGGCTGATGGAAATGTTTTTCTTGATGCGATACTCAGTCTTCGATATGATATAGCAGAACAAACAAAAGTCAAAGTTGTGAGTTTATAACATACCAACTTGCACAAGCCAAACTTTACACGGAAGCTGTGTCATAAATTGATCATTATACAGCCGCTTAAATATCTAACACGTGGAGACGTTTTCAGACAGACACCTGAAATCTGATAGGCGTATCGAGAAGCCTTCAATCACTACTGAACAGTGTCATGAAGTTATCAGGCTCATGACATGACTTCCGTATGCATAACCTGCATGGTACGCTAAATATATCAGTGTAAGCTGCAAGAATTCATATAGAGGTGGGTGTGAGTGCACTCGTATAATGGATGATTTACTGGAGAAGCCTGCATAATCTATTCACAGACATCTTCACTACAAGTTTACATATAAAATATGAACGTATATAAAAGCCTCAACAATTATGATGTAATTGATTCTCTTCACAACCGGTGGAGTAATAATACTTTAATTTTGATTAGCTCTGACAAACTTCACTCGAATTCTCAATTTATAGACAATCAGAGAATACGTATATACATTCACACTTGATAAATCTAGTAAAAGGGTTAATGAATGCGTCTGATATGCTCTGACTGATCCGACAATCAGAATTCAAACACGTCTCTGCCATTTCCGTGGTGCATCGAAACCCCCTGGTTCTTTTCGATATCGTCGGCCTGTAATTCTTTCTCCTCTTCAATATTACTGCTTCTTTCCACTAGCAATGATCGTTAAAGGCTGAAATCGGTAGTAACCATCATTCGTGAAATCAACTTGAGAAAGCATCGTGTTAAATCAGGTTACGTTCATGCAGAAGACTTCATGTCAAATTGAACGTGACCGAAAATAACACGTCGCCTAAGTGTTCGTATCATCATAACAATCAAGAGATTAATCAACTAGCACTTTGATCACTGTCCACTTTGACAGTGGCTGATTTCTGCTTCACACTCAACCGATTGACTCATGTGATGACCTTCTAAGTTGAAAGGTAACAGTGGACGTGATTTTCCGGAAGAGATTTATTAATTCACCTTTGAGAACACGAAAAGAGAAATATTGTGCGTTAGTCGACTGATTGTGTAAAAGTGCGTGATTTGATGATGATGATGATGAATGTGATTGTTGAAGTGTATTCAGGTCACTGTGTGCATGTACCAGTTAGCCATGTGAACATCTCCTTGGATGGAAAACCATTTAGAATTTCGTACGACTTGTTGTCTGTTTCATCTCAATTTGTCAGTTATAGACGGCGTCATGTAGACACGCTTGCTTTTGTGATGACTATTGATGAAATCTGACTAATCACATTATTCACTGTTAATACTTTACAAGGAAAATATTTTCGAGATTTCATCTCGTCGAACTGTGTTGAAATGCATCAAAATTTCCACTTTCTGTTAAGTCGATGTTTATGCCGTTCGAAATGCGTGGATTTTGTTGTATTCATTCCACCTGTCATCTTCCTCACTTCTTTCTACGTTTTCGTTAACTGAACTACTGTCTAACGCTAAATTATCGATCGTGTTTTTGGGAGCATTAGGATGCAGTCTATGGATATCCTATCGAAACGTCATCTAAAGTAATAGATAGCAGCAGGTTAACAGTATTGAGAAACGAATAGACAGTTAGGATTTACACTGAATACGGAATAGCTCATTCCTGTTTCTCGCCAAATGTCACATCGTAGTTTGGTTCTGTTCAGGAATTCGCACTCATCAAAATTCAAGCCTTTGTGCAAATTTCAGTGAATGAAAAGACCACTTTCAAATTTATCAAGCTGGTCTATGCTAGTCTGTGTTTGTTGTTGTCGTTAGTCCATCGGTCATCTTCGCAATCGCCATCTTATTTGTCTTCACTTGAGGTCCTGTATTCTCTGGCTGCTCCTCTTGAAATCCTTTTGGTTTGCAAGAGCTGAAACATAATATATTCACTTCGAATTCCAGATGTCCGAGAGTATTCTCATTTTTCTAGACTATTCCTGTCTTCTTGCACATCACATTCTCGCCTCTCGCATGAACAAGTCCATCACAAGGAGGAATATCATCGGTGAGAGCAGGCAAGTAGTCAAATCTTCGTGATGTTCAC